AGCCATTAAAAGGGGGTATAGAACTGACTGAAGAGTCAAAGATTTGACTAATCTCCAAAGAAAAGAGGGAAATGTAAGGACCTATATTTATTTTTATTTTAGCCAGAGGCTTCCATTGAAGTTAAACAATAACTTTGTTGTTTAACCCTTAAAGAGTCCCTGCTCCCCTTCCCCCAGGGGACTTAAAAAACAAGTCCCGGAAACCAGCTCCAGGTAACAAAACCCAGATACAAGGGTGGGTTAGGCCAGGTGAAGACATCCGGATCAGTGGGGGGCGCATATTGTCTCCTAGCTACCAAGGTGATGGGCTAGTTTCCATGGCTACTGTGGGGTGAATTGTAATTCAGTTAGCCACCTGTGTGTGGCCAGGCCCAACCACATGGCCTTTGCTCTATAAAAGTTAGTCTGGAAAGCAGGGAGGAGTCGTCCTCTGTAAGTGGTGTCCCCAACCAGTCTGTTTGACGGTTGGCTGATTCTTGATGCTTGGCACGACATAAAGCTTTGCTTTGAACTTCACTTTGTATCAGTCTCGCTCCTTTAATCACGTACCCATTACTGGAGTACCCATTTTTGGGGGGGACCTACAGATATCACCTCCCACCTGTCAGGAAGATGAGTATCAAAATGGGAAGAAGTAACAAGTGCTGGCAAGGATATGGACAGAATGGCACCCTCTGGCACTGTCTGTGGGAATTTAAACTGGTGCAGCCACTCTGGAAACAGTACAGCATTTCCTCAAAAGGAAACACAACCCAATAATTCCACTTCTGGATACTCACCCGAAGAATACAAAAACATCTGTTGGGTACCCCAATAATGGGTCTGTGATCAAAGGAGCAAGACAGATACAAAGCGAAGGTCAAGCAAAACTTTATTTCATGCCAAGCATCAGGAATCAAACTGGCAGGCCAGGGTTGCACCTCTTACAGAGAGGGCGACCCCTCCCTGCTTTCCAGACTAACTTTTATAGAGCAAAGGCCCTGTGGTTGGGCCTGGCCACACACAGGTGGCCAATGAGATTGTAACACACAGAGAAAGCTGCACAGTCATGCTAGGTGACCAATTGAATTACAACTTACCCTAGTAGACATTTGATTTAGCCTATGACACCTTGGTTAGGATTGACGCCAAAAGGCACCCAAAGGGCGGGGCCCATACTCCTTGGTAGCTAGGAGACAGTATGCACCCCCACTGATTGAATACCTCCTCCTGGCCTGACCCACCTTTGTACTTGGACTTTGTTACCTGGGACTGGTTTCTGGCACTTGTTTTTAAGTAAGTTCCTTTGGTGGGGGGCGGGCAAAGTCAATTTAAGTTTTATAACAAAATGGCAGTTCAACCGGGGTGGGGCTGCTCTGGCTGAATAGGCCCTTACACATCAATCTAAGAAGACGTATGCATCCCTATGGGTTTATAACAGCATTTACAATAGCCAAGAAATGGAAAAAACCTAAGTGCCCTTTGATAGAGGAATGAATATAAAAGATGTGGTAAGGGGCACCTGGGTGCCTCAGTCAGTTAAGTGTCTGCCTTGGGCTCAGGTTATGATCCTGGGTCCTGGGATTGAGCCCCATGTTGGGCTCCCTGATCAGCAGAGAGCCTGCTTTTCCCTTGGCCTGCTGCTCCCCCTGCTTCTGCTCTCTGTCCCACTGTCTCTCTGACAAATAAATAAAGTCTCAAAAAAAATGTGGTATATATGTAGGACGGAATATTTTTCAGCCACAAGTTAGAATGAAATCTTTTTGCAGCAACATGGATGGACCTAGAGAATGTTAAGCTTATGAAATAAGCCAGACAGGAAAAGGCAAATACCATATAATTTAAATTATATGTGGAATCTAAAAACAAAAAAAAAAAATGAGCAAAGACAGAAAGTCTCATAAATACAGTGAAAAAATGGGTGGTTGTCTAAGGGGAGGCGGTGGCAGTGTAGTGAAACAGGCTAAAGGGATTAAGAGGCACAAAGCTCCAGTTACAAAATAAGTAAGTCACAGGGGTTAAAAGAACAGCATAGAGATGACAGTCAATATTGCTATAAAGTTGTATAGTGACAGATTATGTAACTATACTTGCAGCAAGCATTTTGTGTATAATTATCGAATCACTGTGTTGTACACCTGAAATAATAGAATGTCATATGCTAGCTGTACTTCAATTTAAAAAAGGAGAATCCGGACGCCTGGGTGGCTCAGTTGGTTGGAAGACTGCCTTCTGCTCAGGTCATGGTCCCGGGATCCCGGGATCGAGTCCAACATTGGGCTCCCAGCTCCATGGGGAGTCTGCTTCTCCCTCTGACCTTCTCCTCGCTCATGCTCTCTCTCACTGTCTCTCTCTCAAATAAATAAATAAAATCTTAAAAAAAATAAAATAAAAAAGGAGAATCCATTTTATAATTAAAGGTAGCTCTTGCATGATATAAAAGAGTAATAAAGAAGATATATATATCTCAGTTTTTAATATCAAGTAGGAAAGTCTAAATAAGTTTAATTTTCAATTAAAAAATTCAATACTTTCTATGAAAATATGACATATATTCTGTTTATATTATAACATATTTATAACTAATTTGTATTTATTCAGAAAATAACAAAAACTAATGTCATCCTGAAGAAGTTTAGGAATGAAAGGCACCAGACAAGATTATCTCTCCTCCACCCCCAACCCTCATCCCCCACCTCCCAGACATCTGAAACTGTGAGTTTCTCCTTCCTGAACTACTTCTGAAACTCACATAGTTGGGAGCTCAACCTTATGACAAGAAGGGAGGTGGTTGGTTCATAAGCTAGAGTTTCTAACTGGATGGAAACTATTTTTGAAAAAATGTTCAGTTCATATGTGTCTCATCCACAATATGCATTCAGGTCAAAATAAAAGTTCCTTTATGCCATTCTGGTACAGCATGCTTGCTGGAAAGGGATATCTAAGATGCTTTAATATATATAGTTTTAATACATGTGATTTAAATATAAATAACTTGTTACAAAAAAAATTTTTTTTTAAAGATTTTATTTATTTATTTGACGGACAGAGATCACAAGTAGGCAGAGAGGCAGGCAGAGAGAGAGGAAGAAGCAGGCTCCCTGCTGAGCAGAGAGCCCGATGCGGGGCTCTATCCCAGGACCCTGGGATCATGACCCGAGCCGAAAGCAGAGGCCTTAACCCACTGAGCCACCCAGGCGCCCCCCAAAATTTTTATACATACCCATATGTGTAGCTTGGTAAAGTTTTCATGGGTGACTGACTAGATTCTCTTAAGATTTCAGCTAAACCTCAGCATTAAAAATCGGAGTTGCTGTTTGTGTTTCCATAACGTTTAGTAGCAATAACAAAATACAATGTAAGATTATGAAACCACTTACCTTAGTATTGAAAATTTACAAGAGCCCTTTCCGGATGGATGCAACTATGCAACTCTATGTAAAGCCAGACACTGAATAAAGCCGAACTAGGTTGAGTCTTACTTGGCAAGGTAGGTTTGACTTTCAGGATCCCACAGACATTCAGGACCAGGCTGAAGGATACTGCAACATGTTACAGCTGTGCCATTGGAAATAGGTGATCTTCATGCTTAATGAGGTGCCAGAAGAAAACAGAGTTCATGATTGTTCCTGAATGCTGTGGTTCTAAGGGGTTACATGTCACTTTTATGGAGGTTTCATTGGATGAACAAAACTCTTGACTCTACTTGCATGCTGGGAAATATGGGAAAGTACCTTTGTACTAAATGGACAGAAAATGTTTCTGATACATAATCACACCATTACAAAATATCTTTTGCAAATACAAATATTTTGAACAAACATTCAGAATAACTTCAGATAATTACATCCAATTTTTAAGACAATGGCTCTTTTCAGCAAAACTTGCAGGGTAATAAAAAAAATAGTCCAAGATTCAGGTATTCATTCATTTGAAAAAACTATGTGAGTGTCAGCTTGATGCCAGCAAAATTCTACATTCAGGAGACTTAAAAATTCCTGATTTATGGAATTTATATTTTAAGGGAATAGAGAGAAAACAAAACAACAAAATTAATATAGTATGTGAGATTATGCGTACTGTAGCATCCTTTGTTATTTGTATGTCATTTGTGCTCCTATTGCTTTTCTAAAAAAATATTTACTTTGTAGATCAAGCATCTCATAAAAACGTTTTAATGTAGGGCACCTGGGTGGCTCAGTGGGTTAAGTCTGCCTTCAGCTCAGGTCATGATCTCAGGGTGCTGAGTTGGAGCCAAGTATTGGGTTCTCTGCTCAGCAGGGAGCCTGCTTCCCCCTCTTTCTGCCTGCCTCTCTGCCTATTTGTGGTCTGTCTCTCTCTGTCAAATAAAGAATTAAAATTAAAAAAGTTTTTAGGGGCGCCTGGGTGGTTCAGTGGGTTGAGCCGCTGCCTTCGGCTCAGGTCATGATCTCAGAGTCCTGGGAAGGAGCCCCGCATCGGGCTCTCTGCTCTCTAGGGGAGCCTGCTTCCTCCTCTCTCTCTGCCTGCCTCTCTGCCTGCTTGTGATCTCTCTGTCAAATAAATAAATAGAATCTTGAAAAATAAAAAAGTTTTTATGTGACAGCTGACGAGTTAAGACTCGTAAATTCATTACCATTTTAAGGAGCTTGCCTCAAAATATGGTTATATTGTGACATAGATATATGTGGTGCACATTCTTCTTCGTATGTTTAGAGTTTCCCTTGTGGGTTCGACTTTGGTATTCATGCTATGCAGTGTGTATCAGTGGTTCCTTCTTCCATATTTAGCCTTTCAGTGTTTGGTAGGGGTGTGAAGGGTGAAGTGAAGTGTAGTTGTTTCTCTTGAGTTGCTTGAGTCATGGAGCGGAGATTTGGGCTGGTTCCATTTTGCGGCAGCGCGGGCCTGAAAAGGGTCTTGGATCTGAGCGAACATCCTGGCATTTCAGCAGTTTCATCGAGAAATGGAAGGAGGTCATCTTCGGGCACAGAAGTGGCATGAGCAGAAGAAAGAAGTGCATGAGGGAAGAGAGGAAACAAAGGACGGGTATGACTGTTGCAGAGAAAGTACAGAGGGAGCAGGACCAGCCAGTTTAAAGAGTAGAAAGGGTAGGAATCGGAATGGAGAGTGTAGGAGAAGCAGAGAAAGAGGACTTTCAGCCCTGGCAGTAGGCGAAATTGGAAGACGCAGTAGAGGGTGGAGGAAGAGCAGCGAACCAAGAAGGCAGAGCGTGAGGAGTTATAGCAGGAGTTAATGCTTGGCAAAACTGGGGGAAGACTGTAGGAGGAGTTGAGGATAGAGGGAGAAGGTGTGGCCTTTTACCACATTCTCGCCCACACCCAGCCTGGCTGGAGTGCGAGAGAAGATGGCCGTGCTTGCTTTAGGAGTGGAAGGGGCGCAAGGAATGGCTGTGCCATAACTTTGGAATGTGTCATTTGGAGCGATTGTCGGAGGCTATCTATTCGATAGTCGGTGCGCTGGCTCTGGGCGAAGAATGCACCAGGCGCGGAGGGTGGTACTGCACTGCCCCCCAAGCGTGCGGTGCTCCGGGTCTTAGTATTGACTGAGGAGGAGTATCGTGGACGCAAGGGGCGCCTACAGAGACCGTGCAGTCATGCCGTGGCTCAGCGGCGGTCGGCGGCGGTGGAGACAGCCGAGGGAAATTACGAGGAAGCTGCCGCCGCTAGCACTTCCTGTGCACTCAGCACAGCTGCCGACTCAGCCATCTCTGCCTCGGATCTCCACAGCCCGGGAGAGCGCCGAGCTGCCGCTGCCCGCCGGCTGGGAGGAGGCGCGCGACTACGACGGCCGCGTCTTCTACATCGACCACAACACGCGCCAGACGTCGTGGATCGACCCCCGCGACCGGTAAGGGCGGGGTCGCTGGCCGGGGCTGGGATCCGGGCTCTCCATCCCTTGGGCTCTGGGAGGAGATCGAGGAAGCCCGGAGGCCTCCGGGTCCGGGCGAAGATCGCGTGTCTTCGGGGCCCCGGCGGGGCTCCGGGCTCCCCTCGCCCCCACCCTGGGGTCTTGGACGAGGATCGAGGCGCCCCTCTCCGGCCTCGAGGCTCCGGAGTGCGGAGCCCCGGCCGCCTCCCGGCCCCCGCTGCGGGGCCGGCACAGTGACTTGGTTCCCTCACGTCACCCGCTGACCGGCGCCTGGAAGCTGGGCGCCTGGAATTTCCTCTCCCAGGGCTGACCGATGGCCCTCTTTTCCTTTTTCCGCCGGGGCCTCGCCCATCCCTCCCGGGCCTCGGCGGCCCACCGCCCCCGGCCCCGCGGCGGCCAGATGAGCTGTCATCTTGGAGCAGAAACGTGCGCTCCAGCTTCGTGGTGTGGGTTCCTTGTCTGGCGGGCTCAGCCTAGTTTCCAACCAAAGACTGCTGCCAGATGGGCCACTTGAGGGATTCCCAGTTCTTTCGGAGCTGGGAGAGCCTGCTCCCAGACCGTGCTGGTTGCTCTTTAGCGCCTTTTAAACAACCGACTTGAAATTCTGATTGAAGTAGCCTTGCGTACTGCAGCCAGAATGGAATATGATTAGACCCATATGCTTTTGGAGTAAACGGATATCACCACTTGAATAGAATTTTCTTTTAAAATGTATGAACACAAGTTTAAATTGCCGTTTACTTCTGTAAATAAATACTATAAAGTAAAAACTGTTCTTCCAAAAGCACTACCAGATTATATTCATTAACTGAATGTAAGAACATTTTTCCTTAACTTTCCTTAACTTTCTATTCCATTGTCAAGTAGAGTCACTATTTCTAGTGCATATGTTTCTAGCTGCATATGTAAGGATGCATTTCTTGTGTAATTGGGAATTCTGTTGAAGTCGAGTGTTCGCAGTAGTTATCTGATACGTTGTACTATCTGAAGCACTATCTGTTCATACTGTTCCTCTGTGCCATAAAGGAAATGCTGCAGACTTCCCAGTAATTTTAAGACTTAAAAATGTGCAGTGTAATAACGTTGCTCCTGCTTTCTCCTTACCACTGACTAGCACTGCCATTTGATAATAAACTCTGTAAGCCAGATGCCCCCAAATTATTGTTTCAACATATGTCTGGGTCAAGATAGGAGAAGGCAAAACAAAGCAAAAACGATTTTGGTTCCCTAACATTCTCTCTGAACATTGCAACCTTTTTGACTCAGTAATTTATAAGAATCCTCACACAATTTTTTTATGTTAGAAATATGAAACTTGAAAATCAGGTGACAATGCATAATTTTAACCAAAGATAATAGCCACAACTGTCTGACCAAGGCTTGGATGACTATAAAATGAGTACAACTGGTTGGCTCATTTTTTTTGCTGCATATCTTTTAAAGCACTAACAACTGGAAAATGAGCCAATTCATTTTCTTTCTTTTTTTTTTTTTTTAAGATTTTATTTATTTATTTGACAGACAGAGATCACAAGCAGGCAGAGAGGCAGGCAGAGAGAGAGGGAAGCAGTTTCCCTGCTGAGCAGAGAGCCCGATGTGGGGCTTGATCCCAGGACTCTGGAATCATGCATGACCTGAGCCGAAGGCAGAGGCTTTAACCCACTGAGCCACCCAGATGCCCGCCAATTCATTTTCTTAATTAAAAGATATTTATGGGGCACTTGTGTGGCTCAGTGGGTTAAAGCTTCTACTTTGGCTCAGGTCATGATCCCAGGGTCCTGGGATCAAGCCCCACAGCGAGCTCTCTGCTCAGCAGGAAGCCTGCTGCCCCCTCTCTCTCTACCTGTCTCTCTGCCTACTTGTGATCTCTGTCTGTCAAATAAATAAATAAAATCTTTAGGGCGAAAAATATTTTTAAACTTTTTTTTTTCCCCCAATGTTTTAGACAAAAACGCACCAAATGAGGAGATGGGGAGGGAGGAAAAGGAGACAGAAAGAATCTTTTTTTTTTTTTTAAAGTTTATTTATTTATTTATTTGAGAGAGAGAGAGAGAGAGAGAGAATGAGAGAGATCACAAGTAGACAGAGAGAGGGAAGCAGGCTCACTGCTGAGCAGAGAGCCCCATGTGGGACTCAATCCTAGGACCCTGAGATCATGACCTGAGCCGGAGGCAGCAGCTTAACCCACTGAGCCACCCAGGCGCCCGGAGATGGGAAGAATCTTAAGCAGATCCCATGACTGGGCTCCCTGCAGAGCTGGATCTGACCACCCTGAGATCATGACCTATGCTGAAATCAAGACTACAACCCTTAACTGAGTGAACTACCAGATGCCCCCCAAATGAGTCAATTCAAAATACTGCTTCGCTTAGAACAGAATAAAGTATTTTACAACATTTTCATTGTTTTGAATGGAAATTGATAATGAAAACTTCAGTGTATTAATTTTTGTTTTATAATATAACAAACAACATAGGTGAGCAGATTATCATAGAAATCAGAATGTAGAATCATCTCCATATAATTCATGCTCATTATCTGTTTCTTTTTATAAAAATTAGTTTGTATTATTGAATGACCTATTTTTGTATTTAGGCATTTTATTTTTTTAAATTTCAAAATTTATTTTTTTGTTTGAGTAGCAGGTTTAAAAAAAGTACTTCTTCCAATGCTAGAAGTACCAGTCCAGTTTTTGTAGGGGACTTTCCCTTAAAACTTCTAATTAATGATTACTACATAGCAATAATTTATGATTCTAAATTCTAAATTCCAAATTCACTGTCTGCATCTGATCCTTTTGGATGATGTATGATCTGCACATACACCCTAAGCCTAACCCTAACCACATAACATTCAAATAGAGAACAGTTAAGAAAGAAGGTAATTAATAGTGCTTTAAAGAAAATGAAAATAAATGAAGGTAGCAGATTAGATATATATTGTTGCTGACTTAACACACTGTTGTATACATAATTTAATATAAATCATAATAGCACAAGATATGCAACTTTAAGCAAAGTTATTTAAGGCCGAGAGTTCTAAACAAAATCTCACCTAGAATTTTAGAGCAATTCCATCCACAGTATGTTCAAGAGCACTGGTATTTGCAACCAAGGGAATATTGGCAAGTTACTGTAACAGTAGTTTTATTTTTATTTTTTATAAAATTTTATTTATTTGAGAGAGAGAGAGCACAAGCAGGGGGAGCAGAGATAGAAGCAGGCTTCCCTCTGAGCAAGGAGCATCAGTCAGGGGTAATCCTAGAACCCCAGAATCATACCCAGTGCAGATGCCCAACTCCCAGGTGCCCCTGTAACAATACTTTTAAAAAGCTATACTATGGTCTCCTGGGTGGTTCAGTCAGTTAAATGTGTGCTGTTGGCTCAGGTCATGATCTCTGGGTCCTGGGATCAAGTCTGGCATCGAGCTCCATGTTCAGGAGTCTGCTTTTGCCGGTCCCTGGAGTTGGTGTTCTCTTTCATGATCTCTCTCTCAAATGAATAAATAAAATGTAAAAAACAAAAACAGAAATTAAAAAGCTATACCAAAGGAGGTTTCAGCTTAAGAAATATCTTTAGAGATGTGGCTAAAAACTCAGTATTTTAAATTTTTATTGTAAACTTATCTTAGGTTTGTTATTTCTGTAAATCAATACTATATATATATATAATTTTTCTAGTTAGTCTGGTTTCATAGCTGAAAACTTGTTGAAAAATATAGTTAATGTACCATTTCTGTGGCTTGTGGTTTCTGTGGGTGAGTCTTATGTGTTTTACATTCATGGTACATGTGTTGGGTATATTATTGATTTAGGATTTGAAGACCACTTTATAAAAAGATATTTAGGGAAAGAAATAAGGGAAAAATAGTTTTGCCTACTTTGGAAGTATTCAGTGTCCTTGAAACTTGCTTAAATACATGCTTTCTGTGGAGTTTTGATATTAGCTTATAAGTGGGCACCAACTTCATCGATATAGGAGTGACATAACTTTGTGGAGGTTTAAGGAGCACAATTTAATGCTTTCATGAACATATACATTGCAAATGCCTATCTTAAAAGGCATTTTTCATTTCCTTTGGATATATAGCCATAAGTGATATTGTTTGATCATATAGTAGTTCTACTTTTAATTTTTGAGGAACCTCCATGCTGTTTCCCAGAGTGGTTGCACCAGCTTGCATTCCCACCAACAGTGTAGGAGGGTTCCCCTTTCTCCACATCCTTGCCAACATCTGTTGTTTACTGACCTGTTAGTTTTAGTCATTCTGACTGGTGTGAGGTGATACCTCACTGAGGTTTTGATTTGCATTTCCCTGATGAAGAATGAAGTTGAGCATCACTACATCATTTTCATGGATCCTTTGGCTGTCTGTATATCTTTCTGGGAAAAATGTCATTGAGATTCTCCATCATAAGAAGACATCTCCCATTCCATAGGTTGCCTTTTTATTTCAGTGGTTGTTTCCTTTGATTTTTACTTATACTTTTGGTACCAAATCCAGAAGTTTTTGCCCAAACCAATGTCAAGGAGCTTTCCCTCTGTGTTTTCTTTTAGGAGTTTTATAGTTAGAGGCCTTACATTTAAGCCATTAATCCATTTTTAGTTTATTTTTGTAAGTGGTATATGATAGGGACCCAGCTTTCTTCCATATGTGCATTGCTATTGTGAATGGAATTGTGTTTTCCATTTTTATTTTAGAGTTTCTCACTGTAAGTGTATAGATAAACAACTGGACATCATTATAATGTGTCTGATCTCATTAATTCATTCTAATAGTCATTTAGTTGACTCCTTGGGATTTTTGATGTACAAAATCATGTCGTCTGAGTAGAAGTATGTTACTCTTTTCTTTATTATTGGGATATGTTTTATTCCTGTTCCTTGCCTTGTTGCCTCTTCTACAACCTGCCCTACAATGCTGAATTGGAGCAGTCAGAGCATGTTCTTGTCTTGTTCCTGGTATTAGGAGAAACCATT